TTCTCGTAAATGCAATGTTTTTTCTGTGATTCCTTAGCTTTGCATCATTATTCAAATTTTACTAAGATCTAAAAGTAAACTTTATGATTATTATTATTATTGTTATTATTATCATTACGATAAATATCATTATTATCATTATTGTTGTTGTTGTTGTTGTAATAGTTGATGAATTGGTAGTGGTGGTGGTGGTAGTGGTGTTGTTATCTTTATTAATTATTTCCACTATTATTAACATCTCGGAAGATGTAAATTCATTTTCGATTGTCCATTTCTCTCTTTTAGAAACAAATGCACAGATCATACCTCTTCCAGTAGAGCTTCACACCACTGTTGACTTACCATGCAGGTGCCCTATATCTCCAGAATTAACCATTGGAGTTCAATGGTACAGGAGCAGTAACCAAACTAGCTTTTTACATGATGAAGAAGCACTTGCATGGTGGTCTGAAGGAATAAATGGTAGTTCACAGGGGTTTGGAATCAAAGATGACTTCTCCATGACTATAGTCAGTGTCAATCCAATCCACCAACAGGAACAAGAGTGGTATAGATGTATCGTTACTCCATATGGTGGTGCTGCTGAATGTACACATGATGTTAAACTGGAAATATATGGTAAATATATTTTTTTGTTCATTGTTATCTTTTCTCAAATTGAATATTTACTTTAACGTTCGCCGCCAAAACACTAAGAAATTATCAAACTGATGAAACTACAAAAAATGATATCCAAACAACCAAATTTGATTAGTCTAAATGCATTTAAACAGAATGTTGAGGTTCTTCAACAAAAAGGCATGTCATGTTGATGCCTAACCATTAAAAGTGTAATAATCAAAGTGTAGCGGCATAACACCAAAAAAGACAAGAAGTCTGAAGTCTGTCAGGACAAATAGGAATTATTCCTGAATTAGTTCCACAAAACAGTATCATTATTGTTTAATGGTCAGCAGATATATGATATGCCTTAGCAACATTTTGTTTGTGATGAGTCAATTTCTTGTTGATCATTTACACCCAGCCAGCCCACAGGTACATGAAAACAAAGGCCCCTCTAGATAAGACTTGGGGCATGTATGCTAATTATTTCCGGGTATACTAATTTTAAGAAGTATAATGATGTGCCAAGAAGCAATCATGCTTGTATCAGAAAGAATGAAGAAAGTTTTACTGTCAAGAAGGAGTTTATACAATTTCTAAAAAAACCGGAGGTCAATCAATTGGCTAATTCAAATATTCTTGTATACATGTATCATTAGCCTTTACACATTGAAGTGTATAAATGATAAATTATAAATGATAAATGTAATATGCATTATAGTGTATATTGTTCATAGCTTTGATGTAATAATCATTGAAGGTCTATACGAATAGTTTCAAGAAGTCAAGAATGTGTAACTGTAGTGAAAGAATACTAAATTGTGTATATTAACAATACGCACACACATGGGTATACGCTTACCCTAAGTCTTTGTTTAAAGGCAAGTCAACTCCAAAAATAATTTACGTTGTACAATAGAATCAGAAAAATAAGACAAACCAATCAAAAAGAGGTTTTAGCAAAATAGGATAACTAATAAGAAAGTTATGAATTTGTGATAAAGTATGTAAAACAATGGAACAATGGAAATCAATACACACATCGCCTATTTGGTTATCAGTTTGTGACGTCATTTCCTAACTATTTACCAATTGCTTTATATATTTTAATCCTATTAATTTCCCTTTTTTAACCTAAAACTTGATTTCCCCATGACTTTGTCCAGGTTATATCATTTTTCTTTTCATATCGCGTGCATGACATTTCACAAAATCTGTATTGAACTTTGAAGAATTGATACTATTTTCTGAATATTGTTTACTAATAATTATTTATTTTTATATAAATAGTTTATCGAAATTCACATTTGTCATGATTTAACTGAAAACATATTTGTATATTAGTATATCAACACAAAACGAATTACTTTTAATCTAACTTGGATGCTGGTGTGAAGAAATACGATTCTTAGGGAGGGGGGAATAGGAAATTAATATAATCAGTATAATGGAAACACTTAGTGGATAGTGAGGAAATGACATCGAAGACTTTCTTTTTAGTTATCAGATTTTGCTTAACTTTTTTTTTATTCGTTTGTCTGATTTTGTTTGCTTCTATTGAAAGTAAGTTATGTTTGGAGTAGACTTGCCCTTTTAGGGATTAGGGGACGCTTTTTCAAAGAACTCGCTGCGGCGGTGTCCTCGATTTTACCCCTGACTGGCGATATGAACGTGTGTTTAATATATGTTGAACTCGGTCAAAATGTATCCATTTGTCAGGATTTAAACATTTTCCTAAAGAAGGATGAGATTGCCAAATCTTTTTGTTTTTGTTTAATAAATATTCATAATGTATTAAATTGACGAAAAGCACTTGCAAGTTTACAAAAAATAAATTTCATTTGTGTGTAGGGAAAATACTTTTTTGTCCTTGAATTCATCTCTGATCGTGTGGATTAGAACAGTATTCCCGAGAAGAATATATTTATATAGTTACACATATTCACTTTTATGAACATTATTGTTTAAAGGGATCCGGTAACTTTGTCTCAGAACCTGAAATAAAATCCTGGATTTAGCTCATGCTGCAGTGATAATTATAAACCTTTATGTCAGTCAAGAACTCCATGACTTTTGCAATTATCAATTGTCTAATTATCAGGATATTTATGATTAGAAATCGAAAACAAATTTCTCGTTTGCCAAACGGTTTTCATAAAACTACAGTTTATCGGGGAAAACTAGCATGGTAAAACCGGTTACTCAAAGATTTTATATTTTTTGAGGCACCTCTTGATCATTTTGAAGCGTTGTAGGGCTTCAATATTACACCATATCACAGACACTGATCACACGTAGGGCCGTGCATATCAGATTTAACATTAATAAACGATGCCTTTACTCGTGTCAAGAGCACATTGTTCCCCACCTTGTCCACTTTCAAATTCGATCGTGGAGCCGCGAATTAAATCCGAACTTCTGATTGGTCTATTTTGTTTTCATGTAAAAATTGTGTAACTGTGAATACCTTATTTCAATAAAAAAACAAATTGGTTAATCATGTTTTAAATAATGTATTAATGACCTATTCCCCCCAAAACGTAAAACGCTTTCGGGACGTATTCTATTTGAACTATATTTGGGGCGTTTTCTTTTGATAAGGTCTGCAGACAGTTGTGTTTTTATTGGGACGGCTCGAATTTCCCAGAAAAAATAATACCTTAAGTACAACTTCCCTATCGAAACAAATGAAAAAGGTCTATAGTGAGATATTAATAATCTTTGCTTTACGTCCAAGTAAAGATGAAGCTTGGGTACCTATTTTTCAGTAATTGTATTCGCAATGCAATATTTATCTGCATACAAGACCTTGGAAGGTGAGTTAGTAACCGCTTGTAGAAAGAAAATATACCTGCCTATAAGTGCCACTCATATTATTTTTCTGGGAAGCCATTTCCTCATGAAGATTGCAGTTAATCTAGATACCTCCTTGTCTCTTTAGCCAGTCTGTTATATGTATGTGTTTACCAGGTTCGGATCCAGGATTTTTTAAGTGAGCACTTATTTTTGTTTGGCCCTCGAAAATTTGAAAAATCGCACCCCCCCCCCCCCCCCTAGAACGCCAGGGGGGGAGGGGGGCTTATATCCACAAAAATGTAAAATTAACGTATTTTAACACGTTTACAGGTGTAAGCCCTTAGAAATTCATGGATTTTATACATCAAATTATCGTCGGATAGCTCAGGGGTTTTATACATTAAATTATCGTCAGATGAGCATATTTTATACCTTATTTGTGACACTGGCAGGTTACGAATTGGCGTGGGGTCCAGGGGGCGAAGCCCCCGGAAGCTCAGGGGTTTGGGGCAATAAATAACGGTCAGATAAGCATATTTTTATATCTATTTCCGACACTGGCAGGACACAAATTAGTGTTGTGTCTAGAGGGCGGAGCCCCCAGCAGCTCCGGGGTTTTATACCTTAAATTATCATCAGATGAGCATATTTTATACATTATTAATTTTGTGACACTGGCAGGTCACGAATTGGCGTGGTCCATGGGGCGGAGCCCCCGGAAGCTCAGGGGTTTGGGGCAATATATAACGGTCAGATAAGCATACTTTTATATCTATTTGCGACACTGGCAGGAAAAAAAAATGGTGATGGGTCCAGGGGGTGGGGGGGAGGGAGATCAAGAAGCTCAGGGGGTTTATACAATTAATTATCCCTAGATGAGCATATTTTATACCTTATTTGTGACACTGGCAGGTCACGAATTAGTGTTGGGTACAGAGGGCAGAGCCCCCAGAAGCTCAGGGGTTTATACATTAACTCATCATCAGATGAGCATATTTTGAAATCTTATTTGTTAAACTGGCAGGACACAAATTGGTGTTGGGTCCAGAAGCGGAGCCCTCAGAAGCTCAGGGGTTTTGGGCAATAAATTACGGTCAGGAGAGCATATTTTTATACCCCATTTGCGACACTGGCAGGTCGCGAATTGACGTGGTGTCCAGGGGCGGTGCCCCCAGAAGCTCAGGGGTTTTAGGATTTGTATAACGATCAGACAAGCATGCAGGGGCCCGCCTTAGGGCCCCTGGTGGGGTCGGGGGTGGAGCCCCGGAAACTTTAGGCATTTAATTACGGTCAGATGAGCATATTTTGATACTTATGATATTTTTCCCCTTTTAGTTCCTTCTTTTTGTTTTCTTCTTTCTTTTTTTTTCCTCTTTTGTTTCCTTTTTTGATTTCCTTCTTCTTTTTTGTCCTTCTTTTCTCTCTCCCTTCTTTTCTTTTCCTTCCTTTTTTTTTTGCCGGGGGGGGGGGGGCGGGCCCCCGGACCCCCCCCCCTCCCCCTGGATCCGCCACTGGTGTTTACCATACATATTTATTGTATGTGTGTGTATATACATACGTTTATATACAGATTTGTTGTTCTTCTTCCAGCCAAACCGGATAGCTCTCCTGTGATCAAGTACATTAGGCACAACAATGGCTTCAACGTGACCTGCTCCATAAGTAATGTTTTCCCGATTACCTTCCCACTATTGACAACCAAAGAAGGGAATAGAACTGCTTCTAACAACGGTGATGGAACATTCAACACAACTGTTACACATTTCTTTCCAGCTGACGAGAAGGATACAACCATACAGTGTCTGTATTCCATTTTGAACTTCAGCGGTATAGCTTCCCTGCATATTGTTAACAGTTCTACCATTGACCAGCCTGAGAAAGAGGATACGATGGAAAAGAACATGACACGTAAGCATATATATATATATATATATATACAGTGCGTCCCAGAAAAAAAACGAAACCGAGATCTATAGATGCTTTATCATAACTTAGTCACATTTACAAATAATAAATGACACATATTTGAAAAGCTTACATCCTCCTCTTTTATTTGATGCAACTCACATGATGCATATTTCATGCATGAGTGACTAAAATGAATATGAAGAGAGGGAACCAAAAAGTCAATTGGCGGGTGGTATCTGAATTTCAAAGGGTAAATCAAATTTCTAGACAATTGAGTTTCTGCCCATTCATATGACACCTCAATCAGGAAAAATGAGCCAAGGAATGTCAAAGTTCTGTTTGTTCAAAGTAGAGTTTGCATTTACATAATTTTATCAAACGAATTCGTTTTCACTGGCTCCATGCCGTAGCAACAAGCAAAATTGACAAAAGACTTAACTCCGTTTCGTTGACAATCAGCCATGCATGAAGTCTTACGTCTACGGCGGTTTGTCAACGAAACGGAGTTAAGTCTTTTGTTAATTCCGTTTTTTGCTACAACAGACAGCCAGTGTAAACGAATTCGTTTGATAAAATTATGGAAATGCAAGCAATACTTTCAACTAACAGAACTTTTTTTTCCTTAGCTCAATTTTACTGTCATATGAACGGATAGAAACTCAATGTTCTAGAAATGTGATTTTTTTTTTCTTTGACATTAATATACCACCCGCCAAATGACTTTTTGTTTTCTTCTCTTCGAATTCATTTTAATCACTCATGCGTGAAATATGGATTATACGAGTTGCATCAACTGAAAGAGGAGGATCTAAGCTTTACAAATATGTGTAATTTATCAATTATAATTGCGATTAAGTTAAGATTAAAAACATAATAATTCTCGGTTTCGTTTTTTCATGGACGCACTGTATATATATTGACAAAGAGAGGGAGAGAGACAGTTTGTGAGACTGAACAAAACAAAAAAATATATATTAGAGGATACGATGGAAAACGTAAAAGACACGTAAGCGTATACAGGGTATGTGTGCGTGTGTGTGCGTGTGTGTGTGTGAATGTGTGTGTGTGTGTACTTACACATAGTTAAAGATAGAGAAAGAGAGAATGGAGGGAGAGATGGCGAGTTAGACTCAACACAAAATATACAACTATAAATACTAATGGTGTAAGATATATAACTCCGTAATTGTTTGTGTGTGTTAAGTCTATTCTTAATATTTTGAAGTCGCAGAACAATATTTGTTTATTGATACAAAAATGCACACATATACAAATGTAAATTATTAATTCCACATATTTGCTGGTTATTGTATACAAAATGTTTAACTCAATGAACAAACCATATATTAAGGCTCAACATATAACGTATTTATCTCTGATCATGTTAGTAGACGCCTGTGTCGTTACTTACTATTTTTTTTTGGTTCGAACATTTGAATTGCATTATTTTTCCTCTTATCATTAAAGACACAGACTTCAGATGCACGCCTTCAGGATTGTGGATGGCATGGATGATCCTCGTAATCGAAGTTCTCGTTTTCATCGTCCTCGCTTACGCCATTAAAACTGGTACGTATTTAATGCTGAATCTTTTATACCAAACTATTCCGAATGTCCCCCTTTCTAGTAGAATATCAGTGCATAATTAAACATTACAATTGTTATTACTTAGGGCACAATGGTAATAATTATAGTAATAGCAGTAATAATAATGAAAATAGGGACATTCGAGGATCTATAAGCTAAAGCCATTTTCAAACTATTCTAGCTAAACAAAAGTTAAAGTGTGATATGCCTTTAAATGTAACATTTACTTATTATCCACTCAAAAGGACGTGTACTGTTTAAATCCACTCTGCGTAAAACCATACGGAACACAAACGACTTACCTCAAGATGAACACTATGATGAAAGCAGCAAGGAGGACGAGCCAGTAAAATACACGAGGTATATGTTGTTTGGTAAGCTGTCCTGTGCAGTAATCACATTGACAATCCAAATAATACCTTTAATTTTGTTAGTAACATATCTTGCAACAGCCGGATGTTCCATTGTAGCAGGGGGAACACTATTGGAAAATGTGACCCTTTCCCAAAATTCCAACAATAAGTAGCCAGAAAAGATTTTCTAGTTTCGGTCTAGATTTTTGAAAGAGTAGCTTCCAACCCTTAAATTAATATAATACTCATCGCAATTCAACGTTCATAGGTTATTGAGAAAAAAATGATGAAAAGCCAATTTTCTAATTCAGCACTTTTACTCCCCAAGTACGTGCAAGATGACAAAAGGGAGATTATACCTCTATGGAAATTCATGGGTATTGGATTTCAGATTGTCCTCAAAAATTCGTAAACCATTTATACATATTGTTTAAGAATCAATGCAAAATCTTAATACTCTGTATTAAAGTTATTGCAGACTGAAATAAGTCCAGTAGCCAGGGTATCCCAAACATTACAACCACAAACAAAATGAAGATCAGACAAACATAGGCCTACAAAACTCTACACAATATCTTTCTTCTAGATTGTTTGGTGCTTCGACGTTTATAAATAGGATATACAAAGAAGACTCTCTCAGGATATGCTAACCACCCAAAATTTGAACAACCTGACGAATCACATTTTTATTAAGCTCTTACTAAAAATCCTCCATACGACTTGTTGTTGGTTTTGTGATGAGTAGTCACTCATTTGTCAGCATTATAATGGATGATTATATTAGTATGCCAATGGATCGTATATATATATATACAACGATTAAAGGCTTACCAATTTGTCTCTAACCTTATTTCTCAGATGTTATGAACAATTACTTTTTAGGAAGTAAAACATCTTGTTTTCTTTCTAGCAATTGATTTCTTAGTCTACCGACAGAATGCCATAATATTTTTTCAGATGATATACTGATTAAATACATTAAGGCGAAACATGGAGGCTTCTCCTGGCCTGTACTACCGGAAGCATACACTAAAAACAAGGGTTTTTATGCCGAAATAGACCGTTTATCAACATTAGTAGGTACTGTAGTCTGGCTACATTCTTTTCTATTGAAGTTAAAGTCTGACCAGGTACACCTCTGTTATTTAATGTACCTGGTTATTTATGAATAATAATAATAATAATAATAATAATAATAATACATATGATTTATAAGGCGCCAAATCCACTTGACAGTCAAATGCTCAAGACGCAGCTTGTGCAAGAGATGAAATACATACATGATACATTCTGACCACCAATAAAAGAAAGGCGGTAGTTTTCTTCTGTTGTTTTTTCTGAAAAGAGTTATTATGTAATATCTTGTAAATATGACTCACTTTTTATGGAAATTAACATGCTTAGAAATATGAACATTATTGTGGGTGTTATATAGAGGAAACGTCAGTCTAATATTAACGAATGAATCCATGTAATTGACGATTGTCTACAAAACTTGATACTGACCATAAACAGGTCTATACAATGGGGGACTTTAAACATTCCATGATAGCTGCTACATATTTTTCACTCATAGGTATTTGAAAAGGGTATATGTTGATGATTATTCAACAACAACAAATCTTCATTAAATTTACAATTACCACCCCCCCCCCCCCAACATTTCCTGTATAATTGTTGGTGTTTGTGGGTGTAGTGTGTTACTGATTAATCTGCATACTTTTGTATTTTGTTATTGCAATTGTATATACTATGCATTTGTTTCCCTTTACTGGGAACTATTCCATACAAGTTTGTATAGACTTTCTTGTTGTTTCCGTTTTTTCTCTTACTATGTATATTTGCCATTTGTGTATATATTATAATATTGTTTGTGTGCTTCAGAAAAAAAAAACTGAACTGAACTTGAGGTAACATATGTGAGTACGCACAAATAAAACTAAAAGTCAATGATGGTAATTTTTAGTAAAAACTTAATAAAGTTATACTTGGTCAGGTAGATACAAATTAAGTTGTTAGCATTTCCTGAAAAGGATACATGTTTTAACTTATTTCAACATTGCGAAGCATCAAACAATCTAGAAGTATGATTTTTGGTATTATTTTGTAGGCCTATGATGGTCAGATTTTTAGTCGTTGTAGGGGTTGTAATATGTACACAACAAAGAACAGGATATGTATACATGGTGAGCGACATTTCATACAATCTGTTAATCCCTTCACATTAATTTGTATATAGGTATAATCTCCCTTTGTCACCTTGTACATCCTTGAGGAGTCAGTTTGCTGTTTTAGAAAACATACTTTAAAATAACTTTTTATCAAAAATAATTTCTTGTTGGTGCTAGGTCATTCTCCTTCTTTTTTCAATGGACTAGGAAAGTCCAATCGTGATGAGTACTTTTTCAATTTAAAGCAGAGAATCTACTGTTTCAAAATCAGACCTAATCTAATATTTCATATCTGGCGTTTTTGTGTTGGTTTAGTGGTGCAAATAATTTGTATATAAATGTTCCTTCACGTTTATTGTGCATTGATATATCTGATAATTTGTACATTTCTGATCCTGAACATACCAATTCACAATAAACTTATTTATATCAATGATGTGTATATTACTAACGCTTTTAAAAGAGAGTTGAAACCAATTGAAATGCACTTTTTGATTATTCAAATACATACATTGTACAGATTACATTGTCATGCTCGTACGTTTTAGAAATTATACTAATAACCTATTATTATTAAGCATATTACGGGGTGACATTTCAAGTAAATAAGGGAACCATAAAAACACATGTCACATAATTATTGCTATCTCGGTTAGGTATCGTAATGCATTACCTTGTTTCAATAATGTAGATGGTAAATAGTGTTACATTGCTCTGGTTCAAATTTTACAATAAAACATGAACAAAGTATGCTTATAGATCAATAAATAGACAATATGTAGCTAGGAAGAAGGAAAAAAAGAGAAGAAAAAATGAGGAAGAAAAAGAAAGTATCGAACGCCTTTGAGAAGTCTAAAAATAAACCGATCGTGTGGGAAGAGTTATCAATTGCACAAACTATTTTATTAATGAGTGTTAACATAGCATGACTTGTGGAGTGTTTTTTCTGAATCCAAATTGAACATCACTAAGTAAATTGTGTTGTGTAAGGAAATTTATAGTTCGTGAATACACAAGTTTTTCTAATTTCGGAAAAAGAAGTAAGTAAAGAAATTGGCCTATAATTTCCCTGTTCACGTGAGTCACCTTTTTTTAATACAGGTATTACTTTGGCTCTTTTCATTAAAAAGGGTACGTCACCACATGTAAGAGAGGTTAAATATATGGGTAAGTGGGATGACTATTTCGGAAATAACATGTTTAAGTAGTATATTTAATATGCCATCATATCCAGTGCTCTTTTTACTCTCCAAATTGCTAACAATATCAATAACCTCTACCTCTTGTACCAGGACAAAAAATAGAGATTCAGGATTTCGACGATCTAGAAATGAATGAAATGATTGATTTGAGGTGGGGATGGCATGTGCAAGATTAGGTCCGATATTTACAAAGTAATTATTAAAACTCTCAGCAATAGAAGCAGGACCTTTAAAGCATGCGTTTCCGACTAAAATCTCTTTAATATCCTGCCTATTACTGTTTCTATTAAGTGCATTGTTAATTAGCTTCCAAGTGTTTTTAATGTCATTTCTATGAAATTGAAATTGTTTAGAGAAGTAATCTTTTTTTGCATAACGTAAAATGCTAACTAGGTTATTTTTATAAGTCTTATATTTGTTTTCGTTTGACTCAGTCGGCTTGGACTTGAATTTGTAAAATAAGCGATTTTTCCTATTAATTGAACGTAAAGGGATGTTGTTATCCATGGAGATCGTGGAGTCTTTCTATAATTTGAGTTCCTACGTGTATTTTGAACAGGCAAGTCTCTTTCATAATATCGATTGAAGATTTCAAGAAAAGTTTCAAATGCTTCATTTATTCAGTAAAAATCTGTACAAAATTACACATTTTTGTTACGCTATTTATATTCTATTGTTATTTATTTTTTATTGCACATGGAGCTTTGGTATTTCATATGTATTGTAATTTGTAAGTTTATTTGCACTCTTTTCTTTCGCTTTTTGTAATGTGTAATTGTTTTGTGTCATATTAGCGATTAATTTCCTTACTTGATTGTAGAAAAAACAAAGATCGATATTATTCAACACTTCAAGTGCAGCATCAATATCAGTTGATCTATAATGACAAGTAAATAATAACAATAATAATAATAATAATAATAATAATAATAATAATAATAATAATAATAATAATAATAATAATAATAATAATAATAATAATAATAATAATTTCAGATTTGTATAGCGCACATATCTGCCTATAATGGCACTCAAGGCGCAAATGGTTTTCATTGGCGTTGTATCTACATGCTGTACTTAAGTGTTGTTTCAATTTATGTTGATTTTTTTTCTTCAGTTCATTTTTATCTGAATTTTAACAGAACCAGTCTTACCACCCGTATTATTAGATTTATAAAATGACCACATGAAACAATTCTGTGTATATAATAGTGCAGCGGCTTATTTTTTTGAGAAAAGCATGAAACTTCTAGCATAGTTAGCTTTCACCATAAGATTTATTTTCAGATGTGGAGGGGAGTCAGATTTGGTGATACGTTTGAAATCGCCATAACTCAGGGTTTTTGCATTTAGGTCAAGGTCAATTAAGGTCAAAAATGACAAAAAATAGCCAAATTTGGAATGGTTACAAAAGGTTTTCCCATATTTGTCATTTTTTCTCCACTATGTTCTTACATGTCTTTATTATTGATAACCCTCCATAGTCCCCCGCCTTAATCCTTTTCAGTTAGTTTTTTCATAGTTTGATTTGACCTCTGATGAACCTGAGAGGTCAAATAAAAAATGGCCGCCAGTCCGCATGGTCTAATGTATAAACGCG